GATGCTATCACTTGGGAAAACTGAGTGAATATTATAAGGGAACCCTCTATATTGCTCCCTTTTCTTTAACTATAGCAAATATATCACAAAACTTATCATTTTAGAGTTCATAAATAATCAACATTAAGTACATTCATATTTTTATGTAATCAACCACCATTCACCTCCAGAATATTTTTATTCTCCCTAAATAAAGTTCTACTTTTCTCCTTTAAAAACAAACAAATAAAACACCTTCCCATTACTCCTGACCACAGCCCTTCAAGTCCCTTTCTGTCCCTAAGAATTCAATTGTTCTAAGACTATCATGTACAGAATCATACCATATTTATCATTTTGTGTAGTTTATTTTACTTAGTATATTCAAAGTTCATCCAAGGTGTAATATTCGTAAGAATTCCATTCCTTCCTAAGGAAGGGTAAACCCCAGTGTGTTTATCTCTCAAATTTTATTTATCCTTCCATCTATTAGTGGATATTTCTATTTCCATGTTTTGGCTGTTGTGCATGATGGTAAATTGAACATTGATGTACAAGTTTCCATTCAACTGCCTGCTCTTTGAGATATATACTGAGAAGTAGAATCACTGAATTGTATGATAATTAAATAGAATATAATATGAGCTAAAGAGATGGTTCAGCAGTTAAGAGCACTGTCTGCTCTTCCAGAGGACCTAGATTTGATTTCCAGAACCCACATGGAGACTAATAACCATCTGTAACTCAAGTTTTAGGGGATCTGATGCCCTCTTCTGGTGCACTGAGTGTTCATGGTACACTGACATACATGCAGGCAAAATGCCCATACACTTAAAATAAAAATAAATCTTGAAATATATATATATATATATATATATGGACAGCACACAGCAATACTTTTCCACAACAGCTGCACCATTTTTCATTTCTACCCACAGTGCACAAGGTTTCAAATTTCCCTCCATCCTTGCCAATGTATTTTCTGACTTCTTGGCAATACCCATCCCAATGGGTGTGATATGATCTCCCTGTGTTTTGATCTGGGTTCAGTCGACAACACTGCAAAATGAAAACAAGAACAACAGAAACATTTTAAATTTTTGGTAACTATGTTTATATGTAGTTACATTAAGAAGAATAGAAAAATAATAAGTAAAATGAACTTCATCAAAACAAAACATTGCCCCTCAAAAGGACACCACCAAGAATGAAAAGACATTTCACAGAAGAAAAACAATTGCAAGATTTTTTCTGGCAAGGAATTAATATCCAAAATGTTTTTTAAAATGTCCTATGGATCAACAATACAACTCTATTAAAACATGGGTGAAGGAGTTGGACAGACATTTCTTTAAAGAAACACAAATGGCCAATGAGCACATGAGCAGCATGCCCACTTTCTCAAATCAAAAAGTTTAATCAAACAAAATGCAAAGATAATTTGCAGTTCATAGATTTATCCCACAAGCCAGTCTGCAAACCCCTGCTACAGAATAAAAAAAAAATGGAGTTGTCAAAATTACTGTCTTGCATTAAAAATGCTTATCTAGGCCAGGCATGGTATCCTATCCCGGCAATTCCAGCAACTCAGGAGGCTGAGACAGGGAAGTAGGAAGTTTGAGCCCAGCTTGGACTCTACAGTGAGTTTGTCTCAAACACATGCGTGCGCGCGCACACACACACACACACACACACACGCACACACGCGCGCACACACACGCACGGTTTCATTTTATTTGTTTCAAAAGTCAAACTAGGAAACAAAAAATAGCTCCAGTGCCATATTTGATTATAAGAAACTAACACCTCAGGTGGCTAATCCCCTTGAGAACTCTACTCTTAACGTGGTTTTATGCTCTTTGTTGCTTTGTGGCAGAGGATTTCCGAATTTGGCACCTTGGCCAGTGCCATCTAACCAGCCTGCCCCCTGGGGATCCTCTCTCCACTCCCTTACACATATTGTCTGCATCTTGGCCTCCCACGGCCCCCAGAGGCAGCCACTTCCAATGCCTGAGAGAGCTGTTAGAAAGTCCTGCCTTCCTTACATTTACAAGGACAGTTTTCAATCTCTTCTAAACATTAAATGCAGCCTCTTGTTTAAAGAAAGTGCTACTGTTGGGTGCCCCCCCACCCTCCCACCCCATTCCCCTGCCTCCCATGTCCCTTGCCCCCACCCCTCACTTTCCTCCCCCTCCCACTACACTGCCCACAAAGGTCCCCTAATTTAGCTGGTAATGTCAGTTTGTATCCAGGCCTTTGGGAAGTAATTTGAACTGAATAAGGTTGTGAGGATGTGGCCTCCCAGGTGACATAAGTGGTTTTATCAAAAGAAGAGGAGACAGCAGAGCTAGCCAGCTTGCTCTGATCCCCACCAGACATAGGTACCGTTACATTTCCCAGTCTCTAGAATCATGCACTAAAAAAACCCTCTATTCTGTATAAATCATAGTCTGGGGCTGGTAAGATGCATCCACAGGTAAAGGCATTTGTCACCAAGTCTGACAACCTAAGCTCAAACCAGGTGACCCACGTGGCAGAAGCAGAGAACCTCCAGCAAATTATTCTTTGACTTTAATGTACACGCCATGGCAGGCATGCACTCAAACACTCCTGTGTATGAGCACATGCTCATATAGTTGTACATGTGCATGCCTATGTATACACACACACAAATACACATATGTATGCATATATATTATGTATTTTTGTGCACCATGTGCACACCTAGTACTCTCCAAGGCAGAAGAAGGTGTTAGATGCCCTGGAGTTGGAGTTATAGATGGTTTGGGGCCACCATATGAGTATTGGGAATCTAACTCATGTCCTTAGAAAAGCAGCCTGTGCTCATAACCACAGAGCTACCTGTCTAGCCCTAAATATATATTGTTAATTAAAAATGATCAGTCACAACAACACAAACCAAGATAGGTTTTTAAAAATACATTTACTTGTTTGTACTTTTTAAAAAGATTTGTTTATTTATTATGTATGCAGTATTCTGCTTGCATATATTCCTGCAGGTCAGAAGAGGGCACCAGATCTCATGACAGATGGTTGTGAGCCACCATGTGGTTGCTGGGAATTGAACTTAGGACCTCTGGAAGAGGGATGAGTGCCCTTAACCTCTAAGCCATCTCTACAGCCCAAGATAGGTTTGTGTGTGTGTGTGTGTGTGTGTGTGTGTGTGTGTGTGTGTGTGTGTGTGTGTGTACATACAGTAGTACAGGTTCTAGTTGGGTCCAGAAGAGGGTGTTGGATCCTCTAGTGCTGGAGTTACAGGTGATTGTGAGTTACTCAGCATGAGTGCCGGGAACCAAGACTCAGCTGCTCTGCAAGTGCTCTTAACCACTGGGTGATCTCTCCAGCTCCTCGTTACATAATTTCATCTCCCCTGATTAAATAGGTAAGAGTGACATTGTTACACTACATACTACTTATACATCCGACTTGATGGGAAATGTCCAAATTATTTTCCAGACTGTCTTTATCACTTTACATTCCCGTCATCAATGTACAAAAGTCCCAGATGCTTTCACCCCTTGTTAGCAATGGGCATTGGTGGCTTTGTTCCATCTACATGTTTAACAAAGCATAGAGTAAAATCTGATGAGGAGGCTCCGGCAGAGTGCTGAGGAGATGAGAAACTCCTTTGAACCCATTTCAGAGAGTACTACAGCCTATTCCCTCCCACTTACCCTCCAACCTCCACAAAAATAACCTGTAGCCAAACTGCTATGAAAGCACAGGGGGATTTAACATGCTTAACCGCAGAGGTTGTTTTTCGATCTGAACTGATAACACTAGAGCTTTACCGCCTTGCCATTGAGCATGTCTCCAACCACGAGCTCTCTTCTGGAATCAAAGCAGTGAGTGTCAGTGTCAGATGTATGGAAATGTCACTGAGGTCAAAGTCACCGACAGTTCAAAGACTTGCAGGAGCGGAAAGACTTCTGAAGTTTGATTGGTTAGCATATTTTCCAGATCAACTGGTAACTTAACTCTGCAGAAAACTACCAGCAAATTATTTTCTCCCTCTGTTCTCTTTAACGATTTAAAGTCCTTCCTTTGTTTGGTTAGTTGGTTGGTTAGTTGGTTTTTCTGTTTGCTTTTGAGACAGGGTCTCACTACATAGCTCTGGCTGTCCTGGAACTCACTGTGTAGTCTAAGAAAAAGCCTACATGTTGATAGGCACTAGGAGTCACAGGTGACCCTTGACAGCTGCACCCTACAGTGTTAAGTATGAGGGTTATCACATTAGGCCAATTAAAAGACAGATGTGCAAACTACTAAGAGAATTTTATAGCTTGCTTTTGATTGCATCAGAATATTTCAACGAGAATGCCTTTCCAATAAAGTAATAGGAAGCTGGTTCTGGAGCTGGCTTTTATTAAGGTGACATTAATGACTCACCAGAAGCTATAAATAGAACTCGGTTTAAATCTCTGTCTACAGTCACGCTGAAATTCCCACAGAGATGCTACTAATAGCAGAAGGCAGTCTGCTAGCCACTTTGACAGTTATAGATAAGGTGAACCACAGTCTTGTGGGATATGAGCCCCGAGGACTGATGTCATGTGTTTCTTTATGTACTTCATAGCCTCTGGAACAGTTTTATTGTTCTCGTTAAAGATCACCATCAATGTGTGCATATGTACCTAGTCCTCTCTGAAGATAAATCCAAGAAAATAACTGCCTTGGGTAAATTATTTATCTTTGTCGCCTCTCTTTCCCAGTATGCAACACAGTCTATTGTAAAGTATGACGGCACACACATGGGAGGGCTCAGTAATTATTTGTTGAATGGACTGATGTGCATGTTAACTATTCTAACGTAATATCACGCAATTGTCTCCCTATTCAAAAAGTGTCTCAAAATTTGATCATGGCAGCACACACTTATAATCCCAGGATCTGGAAGTATGGAGCTCCATAGTGACATCCTATCTCAACAATAACAACAACAACAAGAATATGTACCATTTCCCTCACACCCCGACCCCACCCATCCCTTAATCTTGCAGTGAGAAGAGGATAATATATCACCTGGAAGCAGAAAGAAGTAAAGCATGTGAAGACTCCATTTTCACCACAGCTAAGGACCAGTTTTACTCCAGCTCTGAAGGAAAGATGGGAGACAGAGGAAGTAGGATTGAGGAAAGAGATGAGGTAAGAAGTGGCCTAGAACAGACAGTTCTCCTAGAGAAGACAGGCGGAACTGTCCATCCTGGGTAGATTCTGCTAAAGCAATCAGGACCTGGGAGAAAATGAAGAAACAAGAAACTGTATTTCCTATGTTCTTGTAAGTTTGTGCAGTTGCCCCTTCTCCTGATGGCCAAATGCTTGTCAAATACATCTAGGCTGCTGTGGGTCTGAGAAGGCAGAGGAATACAGGAGGGTGAAGTACACACGGTGAGCTGTCATCTCCTCTCATCACTCGTGTTCAGATGACATCTAAATAGACAGTGGGGATTCACCCGTCCTTTCTCTTCCCTGACACTATATGAACAAATCTTCCTTTGACTTACATGCAATCCTACCTTCTCTTCATAAAACCTAGCAGGTAAATGGCAAAGATGGCCAGCAAGTAGAAAAGGCAAATGTCTGAAACTGTGTCAAATCTGTCTGCAGAGGCTCTATTCCAAGAAGCAAAGGAAGAAGGAAGAGAGAAAAAGATGCCTGAAATCCTTGGCCAGGGTCCTCTGAATCTAGTAATAAGAAGCCAATGCATGTCTTCTTCAGGTTGTAGGGTTTAGCTCTATTGGAAAGGTGCAGGGCTGGACTGTTTTCTGTGAAAGGAATCCTCTTATCCCAATACCACAGTGGTTGAGAAAACCCAGAGGGACTAAGCTCAACTCTGAGCCCACCTCCCGGCTCTCCTCTTCCTTTTTGTCACCTTCCCTTCGAAGCAGCTAGAAACACAAGTCCCAAAAGGTGTTCATATATGAGGCTTGACAGCTGGCTAAAATTCAAGTGAGGGACCCGGGGAGTTGGTCCAGTGGGTTACTGAGCATGCATAGGCATCTGAGTTTGGTACCCACCACCCATAGCCAGGAAGGACTACAGAGATGGCTCAGCAGTTAAGAGTGTGCTCTGCTCCTCCAGAGGACTGGAGCTTGACTCACAACCTCCATGTCAGGTGTCTGTAACTCCAGCTCAAAGCCGGAACCTCTGTACATACTTACGCAAAACAAAAAATAATAAAGAGTGAACCTTTTAAGACATTAAAAGTAAAAAGCTGAGTAGAGGTGCATACTGAGAGTAGAGCCCCAACTGTGCACCTGCACACAGCACACACATGCAAACCACACGCGCACACGCGCCCACACACACACACACACACACATGCTCGAGTGATGCGAGTGATATGGCAAAGTGAAAAACAGGAAGTGATGTACGATAGCAGAGCCTGAAAGATTTGAAGGTCTGAATGGAGGGTGCATGTTTATGAGCTCCTGGGAGTATTCGGTCTCTCTCTTGCCTCTGCTTCTCTGTGTGTCTGCTTCCATCTTTAAAGATGCGGCGAAGTCCACAACCAGGGTCTCACATATGATTGTTCTATGCTCTTGTGACCTCACACCTCGCTACCACATCTCCGATGACCACCTAGCTAGTTTTTCTCATAGCTGAAGGCCAGCCATGTTCTAATGTAGCTAAGACTGTGAATACTAGTTATTCCCTGGTTTTGTTCCAATGAATGGGGTTTCATCTATTTAGCAATTGGAATAAACAGCTGTATTTTAGTGGTTAAAAGGTAAACCTTGAGCTGGAGAGATAGCTCAGCAGTTTAGAGTGCTTGCTGTATAATCATGAGGGTCAGAATTCAGATCCCAGTTCCCAAGTAACAAGCCAAGGGTATACACACACCTGCAACCAAGCTCTAAGGGAGCTGAGACAGAAGTATTACTGAGACTTGATTGCTTCCAGCATAGCTGAGAAAACATGAGCTTCAGGTTTGAAGGGAGAGACCCTTCCTCAAAGGCACAGCACAGAGTGATCAAGGACACTCAACATCCTCCCCTGCTCTTCACACATGCGCAGGCATGTACACTCACTTATATGTGTGCACACACATACTACAAAATGAATTAACCATTAAAATAATGTAAAAATGTCTTTAAAATTAGAATAAGCAGCAGAACTCCCAGAAGGATGCAAATTCATAATCAACCAATCCTAAGATTCAAAAAATTATTGTGTGACCAAAAAGATGGCCCAGCAGTTAAGAGCACTTGTTACTCTTCGTGGAGATCTAGCTTCATTTCTCAGCACTCACCCGGTGGCTCACAACCATCTGTAACTCCAGTTCAAGGGATCTTAATATTCTTTTCTGGCCTTGGGTGGCACAAGGCATGCACACAGTACATATACATACATGTACGCAGAACACTCCCCCACCTCCCACACAATGGTTATAAAAACTTGTTACAAACTCTAATGTGGTCTGACTTTCCTCTGGGCCACCATCACTCAGTAATGACACAAAGACTTTGTATTAATTATGAAAGTTCGGCCTACAGCTTAGGCTTGTTCCTAACTATCGCTTACAGCATAAATTATCCCATTTATTTTGATCTACATACTGTCACATGGCTTCTTACCTCATGTCTCCAGACTGCCCATGCTACTTCCTCAGTATCTGGCTGGCAGCCCTGCCTTCCCCTTCCCAGAGTCCTCTCTCTGCGCTGAAGTCCCCCATCCCTCTTGCCTAGCTATTGGCTATTCATGTTTTTATGACACCAGTAATAGCAACACATCTTTCTCATGGTGTACAAATATCCTACAACACTCTAGGGCTCACACTCTCAGTAATTCCTCTGTGACTTTGGAACTTTCTTTCACAGTGAATTATATTTTGTTTTTTATCTTATTAATATTAATGAGATTACTATGAAAGACATTTCATTACAGGCATAGATGGAAGTGAAACCTCATACATTCCAAATTATTTTTCATATTAGTTCCATCTCCACCCATGATCAGAATATAGTGTATGAAAAATACATATTTTCAGAAAACTAGTTAAAATAAGATATCAATTATTTGAAGACATAACAGTCTTTGTGCACAAAAAAACTTGATCATTTAAAACAGTTCCAGTCTAGATCATCTTGAATTTTTTTCCCAAAAATGAGATAGCTCTTTTATAGAAACAAAAGCAAGACTTTTACTTAGCCAGGATCCAAAACAGATCAATAGCATATTTCATGGTAGATTCCTTAGAGAATCCTAGGTACTTCCCATTTTTAAAAACTTGCTATCATGGAAATCATCCAAAAAGAGTGTACAGACATTACATACAAAATGCAATTCTCAGTCCAGGATCCTGTGGATCCTTCAGAGCTCTTGTTGGAGCAGGGATCAGATGTCGGAGCAGTCACCAAGGACCACATAAACTAGTTTACCTGCCAACCACCAAAAGTGGTTAGGTTTTCTAAGGAAATTTCATCATGCTACAGACTTGCAAGGAGAAAATTGGACCAATACTCAAAGGTTGACAAAAGTGCAGACATTTTAGAAGATGAAGTCCATCCAGGTATAATCTCCAAGGCCGGAGCTTCCAAACATCAACAGTGTATAGGAGTTTTTTTGTTAGGACCGCCAGCCAGTACTGTCCAGCCAGCTGGCTCCCAAATAACCACACAGAGACTTATTAATAATTATATTTGATCTGCTGATAGCTGAGGCTTGTTACTAACCAGCTCTTACAGCTTAAATTAACCCATATTCCTTATCTGAGCTCTACCATGTGGCTGTACCATTTTTCAACATGGCATGTTCATCTCCTGCTTCTTCTGAGTCTCCCTGGTGACTCCCATCACTCCACCCTTCTTCTTCCCATCCTCCTCTTAATCTTACTGTTGCCTAACCTCTTTTTGCCTAGATATCAACCAATCAGCTCTCTATTAATCTAATCAAAAGGTGCCTTGGTAAAGACACACCTTCACAGTATACAGAAAGATTTTTCCATAACAACAGTATTTGAATGTGTTGTAGTTTTGCTGTTGTTGTTGTTGTAAGTTGAGATAAAATGAATATGGCATAAAGCAGCCATTAACTATTTTAAAGTATTACACTGAGCTGGACATTGGTGGCACATGCCTTTAATCCCAGCACTCGGGAGGCAGAGGTAGGCGGATCTCTGTGAGTTCCAGACCAATTCCAGGATAGCCTCCAAAACAATACAGAGAAACCCTGTCTCAAAAAACCAAAAAAAAAAGTGTACCACTGAGTGGCATTTAGTACATTGTGTTGTGTAACCATTACTGCTGTTTTCAAGGCATTTCATCACACAAAAGCACACTCTTGACCCGTTAAGAAAGCACAGGAGGGAACACTTTAAAACTTCATGTTCTAGCCAGGCTGTGGTAGCACACACTTTTAATCCCAGCACTCAGGAGGCAGAGGCAGACTGATCTCTGAGAGTTCGAGGCCAGTCTGGTCTACAGACTGAGTTCCAGGGCAACCAGAGAAACCCTGTTTCAACACTTCTCCTCCTCCCCCCCAAAAACAACAACAAAAAAACCTCTGTTCTGAGAGCCCACAACCCAAGAGATTGTCATTCTGTGGACCTGAAAATGTGTCTTAAAACTTCCTGGGTATCTCATTCCTAGGTATTTATCCGAGCAAAAGGAAAATGTGTGTATACCATGACTATACATGTGTTTCAGTGCAACTTTATTCATAATTATCTAAAGCTAGGCATAACTGAATTGTCTTTCAGATGAATAATACATGAATAAACTGATATCTTCACACAATGGATCTCAGTAATTGTGAGGACTGCAACACAGCAAGGTGGATCTTCAGTGCATCGGAAAAGACCTGTGATGATTAGAACCAGTCTACATACCACTTCCATGACATTCTGGAAAATGCAAGTCCTTACTGACAAAGAACAGATTTCTCAGGGTTTCTGGGCTGGAAGGACAGGGAAGAGACTGAGTGCAAAGGATAGCATAGAGGACTTTGGGAACAGTGGCAGAATTGCTGTGCATCCTGTTTGTGATGGTGGCTGCTAGCATTTGTCAAAACTCACAGAAATTGAGCCCTCCAAAGTAAATCTTCTCAGAGTTTGTTTTCATTTTTAAAATCAACTTAATTTTCTTAACCGGTCCACGTATTTCAGAATGAGAAGCCTGTTTGAGGAACTTGGGTGATTATGAACACCATTATTTTCATACATAGAAGGCAATTCACAAACAATGCTGGGCAGCCTGGTATCCTGTCACCCCATCGCACTGTCACTTTTCCTCTGGCCGTCCACATAGCATCTGGGTATTTTCCAGAGACTAGATGTGTGCATGTCAGCTGCCCTACCAGAATCTGGCACACACTTGAGTGTGTCTCTGATCAACTCTGGGGCCCTAAGCACACTCCAGCTTTGCTTCAGCCTCTGTCAATGTGAAATGCTCACCAAACAGAATGACTTCAGACTTTTATTAGTGACTTCTAATTTGTCTTTCTTTCTAATTCATTGTCAGTGGATAATCACCCTCAATGGGATGGGGCTTGTTTAGTGAGTCTTTGAATTAAGGTTTACCTGACTGTGCATACAAACATCCATACATTGGTTCCAGTTTTCACCAATTGGGCCCATAGGATTTAGTAAGTCTACTGCCAGGCTTGTTGCTGACTCCCTCTGCGGGGAAAAGAAAACAAGAAGTTTCTTACCATCAACTAGGTATCAACATTTGGAAACATAAGATGGTATACACAGGAGCTGGTTATGATCTTCAATTTGTCACATAAAACCTGTATTTCCAGTTTTCTTTTATTTGGATTTAACCATACATTCAGATATCCTTATTCCCGTCTCTCCCGACATCAACCTAAGACCGATGTGGCTAACATCTCACACCAGCATATCTGAGACTCAGATAGAAACAAGACAAAAGGAGAAAGCAGTAAGTTAGTGATGTTACACGGAAAGGTAAAGCTATTTTCAGCCCAGAGCCCAGGAAACCAAGGCGAATCTCCCTCTGTGGTGCACTGCACTGTGTCAGGCATGTCTGTGCCTCCATCGTGCACGCATTTGGATTTTGCTGGGTTCAGACTCCAATGAGTTCTGTCAGTGCCACTCTTTGCTCTCCCATCAATTTGCAAAAGATAGCTACAACTCCTTTGAGACCTTGTGCTCACACAGCTTCTTTTTTTAGAGTTGCTGCTGCCTGGGAGGAAACGGAGCTCTGCGTGTTTCCTTTCCATCCGAAGCTGTCTCTTTGGTGTGGTGGGGGAGATAACTGAGGGTTCACAGTTTTCTCCAATAGCTTGTAACAGTATTGTATTTTCTCCTCAGCCTCACTTGAAATCCTTGTCCTAGAAAGTATTTATAAATTGTTTCAAAACCTCCAGGAAACAAGTTGGGCAAGCTCTCCCTCCCCAAGCCAGAGGGCTCCTCAGACTTCGGTTGCAGCTTACTGCATGGCGGGCCCTCTTCTATCGCCCCAAATCCCAAAAGACATCCAAAAAACAACATGAATAAAAATCACGTCACTTCTCAGGCAAAGTCCCTCCCCACAGAGGAACACACAGAAAAAAAAATTGAATCTCTCTTAAGCATAGAATGACAGTGGCCCTCCAAACTTTCCCACCAAGTGCCTATGGGCAGAAAAGCATACATACCTCCCAAGCACCTGAATTCGACCTCACAAAACGTTGTGTGTAATCATGATTATCTATGGCTTAAAACAAACTAATGATGAATTCCAAGGAACCATACTCTGGTTGGAGGAGAAAAGCAGCAACACAGACCCTGGGGGGCCTGCTTCCCACTAAGAACTGAGTATTTTTATCTGGAGGATTCATCCAGTTCCAGGCAAGAGGCCTCAAAAAAAAACCCTCTATTTTTGACAGTTTTAGAAGCATAGACATATGTGTCAGGCCTCATGAGGCCTCAAATCTGAGGTCCCGGGAAGGCTTCCCTGGTGAATAGCTGAGCTGTCCTTACTCTCTCATAAGGAGCTGACTCCACGGTGGCAGCCTCAGGAGGCTGTGTGAGACAAGACAGACAAAGGGAACTAGAAAACTCTTTCAGAAAAATCGACAGGGTTAGCACCTGGGAAGAGAAAAAAAGAGGATGACAAGAGAGGGGACCCGGCATTGGTGGTGCACGCCTTTAATCCCCGCACTTGGGAGGCAGAGGCAGGCGGATCTCTGGGCGTTCCGAGACCAGCCTGTTCTACAAGAGCTAGTTTCAGGATAGTCTCCAAAGCCACAGAGAAACCCTGTGTCAAAAAACCAAACAACAACAACAACAATAAAAAAGAAGCACAGACAAGCACACCCCCCACACAAAACCACATGCATACACACACACATGCACACACACACACACATACCCCAGATCAAACAAAGACCAGTAAGACAAAGAAAAAAAAGCCGAAACAAAACATATTGTTCATTGAGACATTACCAGTTGTCTAAGTGAGGATTGCTATTGCTGCAATGAAACACCATGGCCAAAGCACCTTTGGGAGGAAAGGGTTTATTTGGAAACTTCCACACAACTGTTCATCATGACAGGAAGTCACGACAGGAACTTAAGCAGTCAGAGCAGACACCTGGAGGCAGGAGCTGATGCAGAGGCCACAGAGAGATGCTGCTTACTGGTTCGCTCCTCATGGTTTCCTCACCACCAGCCCAGAGATGGTACCACCCACCATGGACTGGATCCTTCCAAACCCATCGCCAATTAAGAAAATACTCTAGAGATCTTATGGAGGCATTCTCTCAATTTAAGTTCCCTCCTTTCGGATGGCTCCAGCTTGTGTCAAGTTGACACACAAAACCAGCCAGCACACTATCTAATAAGCACACTTGTGTGTTTATTATGGCTTTTTAAAACAGATGTATGTGCCCCTCCCCCCACTAGGCTCTGATTTCATTGTGGACGAGAGTTTTGTGTGCTTTGTCCTCTACAGTCTGCCTGCAGCTAGCACAGTGCCTATAACACAGCCAACGGGTGTCTGTTAGAGTATATCCTGGGGCTCCGAATTGTCTTCTGGCCTACACACGCACACACACACACACGCACACACACATATGCCCCCTTACACATACCTACACACACACACACACACATATGCCCCCTTACACATACCTACACACACACACATACATATGCCCCCTTACACATACCCTCACACACACTCACACACACACACGCACACACGCACACAAAAAAACATATGCCCCCTTACACATACCTACACACACACACACACACATATGCCCCCTTACACATACCTACACACACACACATATGCCCCCTTACACATACCTACATGCACACACACACATATGTCCCCTTACACATACCTACATGCACACACACACATATGTCCCCTTACACATACCTACACGCACACACACACATATGTCCCCTTACACATACCTACACGCACACACACACATATGTCCCCTTACACATACCTACACACACATATGCCCCCTTACACATACCTACACGCACACACACACACATATGTCCCCTTACACATACCCTCACACACATATGCCCCCTTACACATACCTACACACACACACATATGCCCCCTTACACATACCTACACGCACACACACACATATGTCCCCTTACACATACCTACATGCACACACACACATATGTCCCCTTACACATACCTACACACACACATATGCCCCCTTACACATACCTACACGCACACACACACATATGTCCCCTTACACATACCCTCACACACACATATGCCCCCTTACACATACCTACACACACACACACACATATGCCCCCTTACACATACCTACACGCACACATACACATATGTCCCCTTACACATACCTACACGCACACACACACATATGTCCCCTTACACATACCTACACACACACATATGCCCCCTTACACATACCTACACACACACACACACATATGCCCCCTTACACATACCTACACGCACACACACACATATGTCCCCTTACACATACCTACACGCACACATATGCCCCCTTACACATACCTACACGCACACACACACATATGTCCCCTTACACATACCTACACACACACACACACACACACATATGCCCCCTTACACATACCTACATACACACACACAAATATACCTACACACATACAAAGAAAATGCTTTATTAGCTAAAAATAACACAGCATTCACTCATCATTCTTGACTACGCTATGTCTATACATTAGTTTCACAACAGCTAGATAAATTTTATCTCCTTGCCGGTGGAAAACACAGAAACCCATTTTCTATATGTTGTAGCCAAGACTGGGCTTGAGAGCAAATGTGCCCCGCCCCCTTGGGCCCAGGCAGCTGGAACATTAGTAAAAGTCTCCCTGGCTGCCCCTTGGCTGCCCCTCTGACTGGAACCTTTTTATCAGAGTTCCAGGAATGGATTGCTTTTGTTTTTAAGAACCAGCTATTGAGAGCACATAGTAATATCATCTTCCTGCTTTGCTTGTGCATGAACCTCACAGGTCTCCCACAGACTTCTGGTTGTCATTTTCCTCACGGAACTTCACTTTCACCCGGCCACATGAAGACAAAATTCCTCACCTCCAGCCTGGTATCTTCTTGGCAGCTTAAAATAGTGTTATGCAAGAGATATTAAATATATACTTCCTGCTTCCTTTGCTTTGCTTGTAAACTTACCAGGGGCAGATTCAGTAAAGACTTTATGGTTTTCTTTTCTCCCTCATTTTGAGAATGAGCCCTTAGGATAGCTGCTGCTTTTTAGAGCAGCACAAAGGATAGAGAATAAATTCTATATCATAGCCTAGTGAGATGGCTTCAGTGGGTAGAGGACTTTGCCACCAAACCTGGTGATCTGAGTTTTATTCCTCCCAGAATCCACTATGACTATGATGGAAGAAGAGAACCAGTTCCTGAAAATGTAGCGATCAGCCTCCCCCCTATTAGCAGCCATGACAGGCTACCGTGTGCTTGCATGACCTTGCTGCTCCTGTCCTGGACACTAGGAGGTCAGATGCCCTCCCTCGTGGCAAGGAGCCAATCAGAAGTTAGCTGGCGGGGCTGTGCTTTACGGCTCTGGTGTGCTTTACGGACAGTGCACAACAGTGATGTGCAGAGCATAGCAACCGCCCTGGGAGGGCCTATGGGCCATAACAGCCAGTTGACCAATCAACACAGGGCGGGTCCCTAGATACTCCCCTTTCACTGTCCTATAAGATCCTTGCCTCCAGGTTACTCGGGGTCTTTCTCCAGCCATCTGCCATGGTGGCAGGATGTAGGGCCCGAGCTAATGAATTAGCTCGTTAAATAACTACAATAAAAGACTCTGCTTTTGCATCAAGATGGGCCTCTTGGTGATTTGGGGGTTCAGAATTTGGGCACAACAAAAGTTGTACTCTGACCTCCATATATGCACGCACACACACACACACACACACACACACACACACACACACACGTTATCA